GAATTCAGGTAACATTCTGCAATTTGGGCAGTACCATGTTTTGGGTGTGGTTGTCAGTCCCAAGCATGAAAGATGAAATGTACTGATTGGGCACATGGGGTTGGCACAACAGACACATTTTAATAATACTTTATTCAAAAAAATGCAGATTACATATTTTGAAAAGGAAGACATTGAGGTTAGCCCTATATAAGTCCCCCACATGATCTATCTTGGGCAGTTCTGCAAAAGCAAATAGCCCCACTTGCTGTTGGCTCACTTCTTTTTGAAGTATGCCTTCTAGTGGACCATTTTCCAAGCACTTCAGGTAAGACACAGGTTCTCCAAAAAGTGGTGAGCTTTGGCAATGCAATTTCCCAGTGTTCTTTGTCTGGGAATATTCTCGGCTGGACAAGTGTTGTACTCCCATCATCTCCAAATGCACATACAACAAAGTTACAGTAATCTTTGTGTAAAGTAAACAGCTGCTGCTGAACTTGATAGTAATACTGGTGATCATGCTTAAGGGTAAACATTTCATTGTTATCTTTTAGTAGACAACATGATGACTTTGATAGATAGCTATTAAAGTCACAGTCCTCAATRCAAAAAGGGCATTTCACCTCCCCACATCCTTCTCCACAACAGTCDCAAGAACATAAGAAGTCAGGTGTCGCATGTATATATGGATAAGCTTCATTGATAAACAGACCACACTTCTGAACCTTGAAATTGGTGTGCTTCCCTTTCATTATTTGTTCATAGGCCTTGATAGCATCTTCTTCATGTTTACAACCATGAACAGTGGCTTTAGTGGTAAACTTAGCTAGCTCTGGGTAACAAATTGATTGTATTAGAGACAGGGAGGGCAAAGCAGGATCTGAGTGGCATGCAGCYTTACTTTGAGAAGCTCCAATTCTTCCAGCTCTGTGTTTGAAAAAGTTATGTCCTTTTGMCTGTTTTAAGGTATCTCTCTCAATTTGTTCTATGTGATTTTTTGAAATTTCAAGCTTTATGCCTTGACAGACCTTTATAAGCTCTAGATATGATAGATCTAAGTATTCCTTTTTACAAAGATCATTTACTGTTGGAACAGATSTGCTTTTCAGCACAAAGCTACTTGAGTATGGAGAAATCAAGCTTAGAACCACGGCCTTGTTTTGACTCTTGTTGATTTCCGYGTAGAAAGCATCCATTTCCGGTTCTGTAGGAGCTTTGCATTCTTTTGAAGAAGACTTTAATGTTCCTAAAACTTGTGTTGACTTGCTTTGACTGGGAATATCGTTATGATAATCGATTTTTTTCTCTAAGTCCGTCTTCATTTTTCGTGCAGAAGTAAAATTGATATYTCGTACTCTAGCATAATCAACTTGTTTCACGTAGGTTGGCAA